TTCGAGCTCATCTGCTGTGCAGTTGCAGTTATTTACTATATCATTGAACTGGGTAAGAAGTTTCTGAATAACTCGTTTAGTGATCGGAAGTTCTCTTACAATGGTCGAGAAACGGCCTGGATACTTCATTATTGCTAAGTCTAAGGGAGGTTCTCAATCGTAGAACTGTTACTAAGGTTCAGTGAGATAACATCTGATTATATATAGTATTTTAGTGGAGAATCTGTTTTCCCAGTAGAATAGTGGACTATCGTAACTATTGCAATACTAGAATGGAGTTAAATCTAAATGCTGCTCAGCTGCCTATTTAAACACTTTGGGTTTCACTTCTTCCTCACCACCAAGGATAGTTTTTGAAAAGGAATAAGCCGCTTGAAAAGCTTTACTGTGAGCATGGAGAGTTGTCTAACACAATTCTTTAGGCGCCATCACTCGAAATCCCCACTCCATGCAGCTTATATAAAATAACAATCCGATGGGACTAATTTGTACTCATTGAACCCATAGCAATATTTATTCTCTGGCATCGAGCCTTACTGTTACTGATAATGACGTTTTCCTTTTCGACTTTTCTTTTCTTATTGCAAACTCAGCTATGACTCCTCACATATTCGTGGCTAAACCTTTCAGCGAGATGAGCACAGTGCCGCTGTGTTACTCAGGAAATTACTCAGCTTTCGCATACTTCCGCACAAGTTCAATATGAAATGGCTTCCTCTCTGAAACTTTTCATTAGAAACTCAATCAAGTGCGAATACAAAGTACATAGCTGCGCTGCTGCGAATACAGCAACTAACAACGGTAACGATAGCAACAGCAATAAAAACAACATAACACTTAACAAGCAGTGATGACAACGATATCCACATTTCCTATCCACTTGCATACTCTAACAACATTGCACTACAGAACATAGTTTGCAACGAAGTTAGTGCATTGTTGCGAAGGTGGAGAAGACTACTGGCTGCTGGCTGCTGACTGACGACATATGAGGGGCGCGTAAGACGAGTAGCGAATGGTAAATGGGCGTTGCGTAATGGAGTGAAAGCAGCCGGGGAGTGTGCAATTCAGCATTCCGTTTCCTGGGGTGGGTCGCCGCGCACCTCCCCTCACTGGTAGCTATGGGATTTTGTTGGCTATGACTGGCGGTTGAATGTTATCTTGCCACGCGCCAACTATAATTCACCATCATCACCGTTGATGCTAATGGCGGCACGTGATCAGCTACACGCACAAATAAACACACATAGCAGCAACGGCACTCATCACTCAGCATAAATCGACGTTGCTAGCTAGTCGATGATTCCACTTCACAACCGCGGCGACTGTGTGTCGTGGTCGGCCGTCGAGCGGAGGCGCAGTTGGGCTAAAGTAATTCGATGCTTGCAATTTAATTGACATTGAAGTAAGCCAACTGCAGTCGAACTTCTAAGTGCATATGTATGTACATATGTATGCAGCTCAAGTTGTTTGCTGCTGCCAACCATTTCCATTTCATTTCCCTTTCGCATTTGGCGCGACGAGAGTTTGCTTCATTTCATCTTTTGATTTTTATTTGCCCGTTAATTCCTTTGTTGGTTGGACGAGCTGGACATTTTCTACTCGTAAATTTATTAGGGCGAAGTAATTTGTTCAGAGCAAAATTTTCGAAGAAAGTGTTTAGAAAATTCAAATTCTACGATTAATTCTAAACAAAAGTGGCAAACAAACTTTATACCAAAAATGACGTTTGACCCTCCCAATTTTCAAAATAAAAAGCAGTACTCGTACGTATGTTGTAATTTTTTTAGTCGAATTTACTATACTATACATTGTTCACCATTTTTGGTTACAATCGAACGTAAAACTCGAAAATGCTAAACACTTTTTTCGAAATTAAATTACTCTGTCCTAATGTATGTATTATGTATTATTAGAATGCGCCAGAAAAAAATTTAGCCGTACACTTCTTGGTCTAAACTATTTTTGTAGGTGTCACCCTTTTCTTATTTCTCATCTCTTCTGTCCCGTGGATAAAATTTTTTTATTCCAAAGTTCATTCACCTAAACGACCACATTCTAGTAGTCACCCACTAGATCTCAGTTCCTACCGCCCTAATATCGTAACATTAAAACTATTAAAAAGAAATTATTGCCGAACGAAGGTGTCCCAGAAAAATGTAAAAAGGCGACCCCTAGGTTGGGCAAAAATTTGTGTTTAATTGCTTTGCAAAAATACTTCAAACTAAAGGGTGTACGCCGAACTTTTTTTTGTTTGCTTGTAAGGTGGTACGGTCTAATGCATATACATACTTACTATGCACAGTTTTTGTTATCAATACTATGCTACCATGACGCGCTGGGTAAATATTTGCCATGATTAGTGAAAGTGGTGAAATATCGGCTAAGCGTGTTTTTGCCGTTGTTAGATTCGTGATTATGCCTCCGGGATTGCGCGCATTTAGCATGAAACGTGTGGTTTGCATTGCAACTCTGTGAAAATTTTTTATGAAATTGAATACGAATAATTGAAGTGATATATTTCTGTGAGAAAGCAGGCAAGTGCGCTAAGGTTTAGGGCGTAGAAAGGCCAATTGTTATTTTATACTGTTTGTCTTCGCATGAGACTACTCAACGAATGCTGTTTTAGTTTTAAAATTTTTCGAACTTTATCAAAAAGGTACTTATTTTGTCACATTGGGTCTTATGTTAGTGATCTGGTACTGCTGTAGGGTGAGCCTCTAATCTAGTCTGTGTTTAACTTGAAGCCTAGTAGCCGTATATTCTGGTATACAGAATCACGTCAGGTTAGGTTAGGTAAGCTGACTAGCCACTGTGTTGCTTCGCAGAGACCATTAAGGTCCGTGGTATTGCCAGATAAGCTACGACCCTATTATACAGCAAACCACTGAGCGTCAGGAGCAATGGTAAACTGGCAAACCTTAAAATATCCTAAGTTGTCAGCGGCTTCCAAGTTAGGCAGGAAGCCTGCTCCAGGAGACTGATTCACAGTCTGCTAAGGGCAAGACAATCACATAGGTTAGGCTCCTCTGTCTCCTCCACTGCACCTCCTACAAATATTATAATTGGACAGAGCCAGTTTAAAGGCGTGGGATGCCAGCAGGCATACCCGTAAGAACACCAGTAGCCTAGCATCTTCCCTCTTGAGGGGTAACAGAAACTTCTTGAGTTTTATCTCATATGCTTAGCACATAATCCTAGATACCTAGCAACCTTGCGTTTTGATCCACGCCTTCCGGACCATTTTACCCATTCTAAAATATGTAGGTGTAAAAGAAATTCGCCATTTTCTAACCGTCTTAGAAAGAGGGGTAGGTTATCAATTCATCAGAGTATTTCCTTCCACTACGGTAACCGTTTTTGATAAATCTTTTTTTAGAGGAAAGGTTGTTCCTCCATACCTTTAATATTGGTTTAGTTCAGATCTTTGGATGCTGAAGAAACTAACGGTACTCCTAAATTTCTGAAGTCAGTATTGAAGTCGGGCGTAATTAGTTCTTCTAGTTTTCGGTATTCTGAAGTATCTGATTCTTCCGACAGGGCATATTTAAATATATGTATATGTATATACATTTGGGTGGTCCAAATTTCTTTTTCCAGCTACCCCCATGAAGAGAATAATATCGAAAATAAGGAGATACCTATTTTTTTTCTCTCGAATGTCAGGAGTGGTCTAGATTGCCTGTTAAAGTTAACGGGTGCTTTGACTGCCCGTCAAATTTTTCGTTCACAGTCGATAAAGCAGTCGATTTGTTTAGCAAGAAAATAAATTTTAACAGGCGGTCGAAAAAAGGGTCCTTAGTATAAAACACCGGTCTCCTTATATTTTATAATTCTGGGGGTGGCAACAAGGAAATTTTAAACAGCTTATTTTCCTTTGTGTTTTAGGACTACCCTAAAATATGTATATTTCTACATCCACTAGGCGGCAAATGAAAGCACGCACCTTGTTCTAATATAATATTTACAATTATTTTCATGAAATCTTTTTTTCATTAATTATTTATGAAAATATAGTCCATTCTATAATAAATATAAACCATATGAATTAAAATTTTACATTTTCCATAAAGTCCACAAAAATTCATTTTTTTCAGATTTTGTAGAAATTTGCAAGTATGCGAGTATGCAATTTTGTAGCCCATTCAATTTAAATTTCAGGAAATGCAAGTTTCAACCGGCTAAACATTTTTTTTTGTTTGGTAACGGATTCTCGCATTCTTCGCATATAGGCAGGAATTGCTTACGAAATTGCAAAACAATTTACGCCAGTTTTTTTGTGTAAATTGCACTTGTTATATAAAAAAAAAAACAAAAACGAAAAAGCAGTATCCAAAAAAAAAATGGCACAAATCAACGAGATTTTTTAGCCGGTTGAAGCTTCCTCTTTGTTAGACTTAAACTGAATGGGATACAAAACTGCATACTCGAAAATATTCTAGAATTTCTGAATAAGAAGTGGAAAATTTTGGCGATTTTTTTTTTGAATTTTTGTCAGTTTTATATAAAGTCTGACTCATATGGTTTATATTATAGAATGAACTATATTTTCGTAAATAATGAATGCAAACAAATTTTCATTAAAATAATTGTGAATATTATATTACAGCAAGGTAAGTGTACACTTTTATTTATCGCCTAGTATATGTATGTATGTATGTATATATATTGGTGTGTATGCGGGCGAGAGCAACGATAAAAAATCATTGGTTTTTTTTCAAACAATTTATCGGGTATTTGTGTTATGTACTCCTTTTGCCTTTGTATGACTTAATTTTTTTCTGCTACACTCACTAAATACAAGCGTTTACGCCTTTGCGCCTTAGCGCCGCTATGCTTATCAGTTATAAACAGTAAAAGCGAACAACTCGAATGAATCGAAGTGTATATAAATACATATGTATGTGTGTACATACATCTAAATGTAAGTACATTAAATCTCTCGCCTAACCGTCTGCATAAATCTGGAACTACAACCGCCTATCAGTGGTCATTGCGAATGCTGAGAGGAAACAGCTAAATTTAATTACTTCTCCTCAACCAAAAGTATTTACAATTTGTTTAAATTCAAAAAAAAGTAACAACTATAAAATAAATCAGCGTAATGTCTGTACCGTTACTCAGCAGATACCTGCAGCATTTTCATCTGCTCATTCTATTGTGTCTTCTCTTCCATTGGATTCACAAGGCAGATGGTGTATATATGACGCGATCACGAGTGCCATGTGAAGATCCTGAACCGCTGAAAAATGGTTTCTCAGCTTCAAAACGGCGTAATATGTTGTTGCAACATTATTGCAATTATGGCTTCAAGTTGATCGGCGATAGGCGGACGCAGTGCAATCGGGGCAAATGGAATGGCAATCGGCCGATTTGTGCGAGTGAGTGCAAAGCGCTAAAGTGAGAACTGTGTACTAAGCAGACACATTCAGATTTCTAGACTTGATCTAATGGTTATAGCTGAGTCAAAAGACAAGAGACCTAAAGTACATAACGCGCGCTGAATTTCCAATAGCAGTTCACTAAAGCACACAAGTGTTCATTTTGTGAAAGCCCACTTAAATTTCGGGAATATTCTGAAGCGTGTCAATTTATAGTTAAGCAGTTCAAATAATTCGATATTTTTTTCTTTCAGAGCCCGGTTGCATCATTCCCTCGGAGAATCCTGAGCATGGCAGAATTCAATATATTGATCAGTATCATATCGGTCTTTATTGCTCAGAGGGCTTTGATTTGGCTGGTAATCGCTATGCTTATTGTAACGGCACGGATTGGGATCGTTCGCTGGGCTTTTGTCGGAGTAAGTAAAATAAGTAATGTGGTAAACAGAAGTGCAGCTGATAACGGGTAAGGGGCTGACGGGAGGAGAAAAGCTGATCCATTACAGTCGAAAAATTCGATCGGGTAAACGAAATTGCGTAAAAATAAGCAATGACAAGAAATCCATCTCGCCGCAATTCTGTGCCGTTTCATGCTATTCAATGTGTTCTAATTTTGACAGTGGCTTCCCGTTAACCGGTTACCCGCTATCCTCGGTAATTCTGTTTACCACATAACACAGATTAAGGAAAACCCTTATGACAAGTGGCTCATGAGTAAATTCTTAAAAGTAAGCTTAGACAAAGAATAAACGAAATCCAAAGTATTTAGAAGAATAAGCATTAAATTGGTATAGGTTCCTCCTTAAAGGAGCATTCATTCCATTAACAGATTTAGCAACACCTACAAAAAAACAATTCATTACAACGAAGAATACGTAAGGGAATATTAACACGAATTTTCATGAGGAGGTGCGGATAATCAATAGGGCCTGCAAGTATACCAAAGACAAAGCAAAACCGTTTATGCTTGCCTGGACTTTTCGAGCAGTCAGCATACCAATTCAGTTACTTAACTGGGCTCGCCTTTTCAGGTCTTAAGTATTCCATGCTGCTTTTCTGCACTTTTCAGTCCTGAATTCCTTCTCAAATACTATTCTTGGCTGCATATCATCTCTGGCCGCTGAGGCAAGCGGGAGCTAACAAAGGTGTAAGTTGAACCTCAATGAATGCCACATTGTTCCAAGGATGATTTAGATATGTATGATAAACCTCGTCTTTGAAAGAAATGGGATGGTTTCTGGTGGTTTCGAGTAAGCGCCTCTATGGCAGCATCCCAAAAGAACCGCTTACTCCGCACGATGTTGTCATCCTTATCTAGGAACATCTGGGCTTGAATCTCTTTTACGCGTTGTTCAACTGAGTATCGACCCAGGACTAGGTTTGCCAAAGCCTGTAGAACCAATTGCCTGATAAAAATACATAAGTAAAAAATTAAAATATCTGCATCTGTTAAGGGTGTCACTCTTTTTTCCATGTAAAAAAGCGTTGAACATAAATACTTCGTATGGAAGAAAATGACTGACATTGTCATCATACAAGGTGTCACTAATCAAGTAATCAACGGTCAGTCCCAGATATTCATAATTGCTCTTTGCTATACTAAAATTAAATGGGCAACAAAACTGCATACTCCAAATATTTTTGAAAGATTTATTTAAAAAGCTCGAAATTTTTACGAAAGTTTGTTGCTTTTTTTAAAGTGTACAACGATTGAAACTTGGATTTATACGGTTTTGGTTAAGGAATAAATTATATGTTTATAAAAAATAACACGGTGTTACTCTGAAGATGAACTTTTTAAGTGACCTACATAGTACTCGACCAGCCCGAGTCATAACGAATTTCCACTTAAAATTTTTGTTTTTATATGTCTTTGGAAAGAAAAATATTTGTATTATTTAAACAAGTAAGAAAGTCTAAGTTCGGGCGGAGCCGAACATTAAATACCCGGCGCAAGTATTAAATATGCGTTTTTCACCTTTCCGAAAGCTACCGCTGCATGGTAAGCCGGGGTGTATCAATTTTGAGTAAATTAGCGTCCTTAAATTTCGAAATATTGAAGTTTCAAGCATTTCTGAAATTTACCGTTATATGAAAAGCGGCCGTAATTTTAGTCCGATTTCAATAATTTTCAACGTTTTGCTTCTGTGTGGCAAGTACAATAACCACACCGAGTTTGGTACAAATTGGCAGAGCTGTGTAAGTGTGAAATCATTTTCAATTTTAAAACAAAAATTTTTTTCTATCCAGTTTTCATTACTTATTCTTCGCTTAGGATTGAGGTTTAAAATTTTTGAATTTTCCATTCTCTCAAAGCAGTTATGAATTCACACATCAACATATTCATAGCAAGATTGAAAAAACCAATGCCCAATCAAAAAAAGGTTTAACACTGAATGAGTATTGAAAAGGCTGCAATCTTTTATGTGTGTGCATTCTTTAACTCAGTACCAATCATTAGTTCAAAGACACCCTGGTAAATAACTTTTTGATAAAAAGGAAGATTTTTGACAATTGCTCAATTGTAAAAATTCAAGCCGGCGTTACCCAATTTAAGTTTTTTGGTAGAGGGGATTTTATATCATATGTTTGGGATTATATATAAAACAGTTGTATTAACATTTACGTTTTAAATATAATTCATGTTTTATCTTCAAAATGTTTAAAATTTACATTAAATTAGATAACTACTTCGCATAAGCTTTACATTTAGGTTGATAAAATTTTATTGAAAATATTTTAAAAATCTTAGTGTCTTTAATAAAAAAATAGCTCATCATAAAAATTGTATCGCCGTTCGGCGTCGGCGTAAGTTTGTAGGTCCCTCTCATTTGTGTGACAGCAAAGGCGCACGCTACAAATCGGAGGAGAAGCTCGGCCAAAACTTAGCAAAAGTGGCAAGGCCAAAATATGATTATTATAAATAAATTTAGTTTCAAACAGGTCGCAACCCTCTTCAAACACCTCAAAAGTATTCCCAATATTATTTAGTTGTGAACCCGCATGAGTCCGAAATTACCATTTTTTACCAGATTTTACCGGAAATCGTACTTGGTTTTCTGGCAACTGAGAGGACAAATAAGAGAGTACGTAAGGTCATATCTTTGTCAGAAGCTACCTGGTGGAAAATTCTGGTAAATCTGTCAAAAGATCCGATGTAGTGTGTTTGACAACCAAATTCTAAACAAAAGAGAAGTGCACTCTGCTAATGCATGTTGAAAAGTAAATAATTCCTTGCTTGAGTGGATGCTAATGAGTTTTGGTTAAATTACAAAACGCTTAAAAAGGTATTAGCCGTAATTTTACGTTTAAAAACTTTGAAACTTTAACACATTACCACCCTATACTCTATATGTGATTGACCATTGAACTAAATCGTTGTTTATTTGGGTAAGATTAAAATATATTTTACTATTCAATATTGGAGTTGGTGTGAAACAAAAATTAATAATTTATTGTTATGTATGCAAATGAGAACTACAATTCTGAGCTTATTGAGCATCTCTTAGTCAAACACAAAGGCAATTTTGCTTGATCAAGTTTCGAATCTAAGAAGAAAATGTTTTTAACAAACAAAAGGTTAATAATAAAATTTGAAGGATTTAAGATATTGCGTATGGTAGCATGAAACGTCACAATCTTCTTAATTGTCAGGCTGTTGATATGGCTACGAAAAAGTGACAATGGAAACACATAGCTGAAGATTTCATACTTACAGTGGGATAAACTTCAAACCTCTAATATAAATTAGTTAAATTTAGTTATTATTTTTTTTATCAATTTTAAGTTTTCGTTTGAAATAATTTTCATGAACTTATCTATTAGGAGATCTCTTTGGAAAATTACCGTACATCCGATATCTATTGAAATTTTGACATCCTCACTTTTTAGAAAAAGAAGTTCAAGATACAAGTTTATGTGCAAAAAATAAATTAAACAATAAAAGTCTCCTTATATTTATGGAACTTATAATAGAAAAATTTTTATTTCATTACCCAGACTTTATGAATAGCCTACTCTATAAGTAATAGTAGAAATTCCGAATTAGTAAGTTCAGTCAAGACGTCATTCTAAAGTTTTGAAGAAAATCACTTTTCTCTTTTGTGAAAATTTGGGACTATCTTATGCGAGTATTGTCGACAAAATGTTAGTCTATGAATGACTAAAAATTAACGAATAAATGGTTAATCGCGATTAATGATTAAAATTAATTAAGCGATCGCTGTGGTGTAGTGGTTAGAAGTGCGCACTACCATTCCGCAGGGTGAGCCTCCGAGCCCAGTTCCGGCCAACAAAAAAAAAGAAAATGTTTTTTGTAATAGTAATCGGCCCCCGGCAGGAGTCGGCGTAAAACTGTAGGTCCCTCCCCTTTGTGCGACAACGCCAAGGCGCATGCCACAATCGTAGGAGTAGCCCTAACATATGTCGGTGGTCCTCTGCAATAACGGCACAATTCAAAATTTCAGGTTTAGAAAAATACATCATTTGAAAGCTTACAGTATGACTGCATATAATCCGGAATAATTACGTTCCAAGACATATTATTGCTAAATTACGAAACAAAAAACCTTTAATTGGCTCTACTGAAATATATGAAATTTTTAGTTGTGTCGATATGTAAGCGCCTTTCTATTGTTATTAGTAATCATCAATACAATTTCAAATTACATAAACCCAGTCACAGCCCTTTTTTGTATTCGACGCTTCCAGAAATCACATAATACATAAAATAAATAAAAGCTGTTTTGATTAATATTACATAAACTGGAAACTGTTAAAAATAAGTGCGCTTGTGTACAGAGATTTTAGAACCTATTTAGTTCCTAAAATGTCTGTTTGCAACACATAACAATAAAAATGCACATCAAATTGCTAAGAATGATGAAGGAAATCGATTCAGACATGCCTGTTTAACTGGCCGTGCGTGCTCAAAACAAACATGTTAATTAAGGAGCTATTCAAGTATTATGTAACCACCAGTGGAAAGCGGGGGTCTTGGTTTCCTTATTTTTAATAACAACGGACAACATTTCTTCAAATAAGTAAAACATTAATTACACACGCACAAATTTTGCCAGCAATTTCGATCACAATTGAACACTGCACTTCACTCTCGTTTCGAATTTTTGAAAGCGTTTTTTAAGCTATTTAGTGGTTTAACACTTGATATTGTAAAAAAAATATGCGCAATTCGATCCCTAACTACATTTTTTTGTAAAGAACGCCCGTTTGCTTTAAATTTGTAAAAATACAATTATTTTTTTATTTTGTTTACGTCTGTCATTTGTTACAAATGAAGAAAAGTCCAAGAGTGGCCAAGTATAAATATCTTTATATCTATTTATTAAAATAATAATTTACAATAATAATTTATTTAATTAAAATACAAATTTGAAGTGCAAATACATTTGTAAAACTGTTTATCACAAAATGTTATTAATTGTTTGCAAGCATACTATAGTTTTCATGCATTTTGAGAATAAATAATCTAATATGTGTACATATATATCGTCGTTTAAAGTACAAAACCGCGTATCGTCATTCTTCAAAACCGTGTGACTGACATTGGCTGCCAAAAATTGGATTTGCTCACAAAAACTCTTGGCTCAATTCTTATCCATTCGTCCTGAAATATACTAGCCAGAATACGTTTGCTTTATAAAAAAGATAACCATTTTGAAATATGGGTGACTTTACTCTCTAGAAAATAATTTATGCAATTACGCGGTTTTGCATTTTCTTGATACGCGGTTTTGTACTTTAAACGACGATATGTATAGCATGTACTTACGGCGGCCGCCGTAGCAGAGTGATTACATGTGCGTACTTCCACTCCATAGGACCATGGTTAAATACCTGATCAGATCATAGCCCAAAAT